CGGCAGCCGGAGGGGTTCAGGCGCTTGTTCTGCCCCGCAGCGGAGGCCGGGTTAATCTGTGGCTACCGGCGGCCACCACGGGGTTATCGCAGGTGGCCCAAGGAGGAGGCCGAGGAGGAGGAGGAAGGAGACCTTCCTCGGGGCCACCCGGGTTAAATTTTAGCCTCTGAACGAAAGGTGCTGACGGAGGCTCCCGGGTGGGAGGTCGGAGCCTCGTCCGCCCCGCGGAGGCCGGCGATTAATCTTTGACCGGGCACCTGGTGGCCGCGGTGGCCATGGGGACAAGGGCCACGGTGGTGGTGGGGAAGTCGGGGAAGGGGCACGGGGCCCATGCTGGAGGTTGGGATGGGGCTGGAGGAGCAGGTTGGTGGCCCTGGAGGGCGTCACCTCATGGGGGCCGAGCCCCTAGATGGGGGGACAACATTGGGGAGGGACTACGGGGTGTCACTTATGGGGGGACCCTCCTGGAAGGTTCTGGGGTGCCACCTTATTGAGGTGGCCCCACAGGGGAGGTCCTGGGGTGCCCCATCGTGGTGGTGGCCTTGGACATGGGTGGTTTTGGTGTGTCCTGTCCTGATGGTGAACCTGGACGTGGACTTGGGGACACCCCATCACCTTGGTGGCCCTGGAAATGAGTGTCTATGGGATGCCACATCATCATGGCGACCTCGGACGTGGGCTTGGGGACACCCCATTACGAGGTGACCCCAGAAATGGGCACTAGAAGGTGGCCGATCATTGGGGTGGCCCCACATAGGGGGTCCTGGGGTGTCCCATCATCGCGGTGGCCCTGGACATGGGTGGCTATGGGGCCTCAGGATGATCCCGGACATGAGCTTAGGGGCCACCCCATTACGAGGTGACCCCAGACATGGATGTCCATGGGGTGTCCCCATCACCAGGGCCACCCCATCCGTGGGGCTACAGGCGCCGCGTTATCGGAGGCCAAATTCCCAAGTGGCGACGTGGAAAGAGCTGCTTTATTCCCAATGGATCGAGCCCCCTCCAGAGCCCCTCAGGCCTCCTTGGGCTGAGCCTTGTCCTGCAGCGGGATCTTCTCCTTGAGGTCCTTCTCCGTCCGCTTTGCTTGGAACCTGCAGGGGAGGAAGGTGAGGGAGGGAGGAAGGCCACCTGTTGGCCTCCCAACCCATCTGTCTGTCCAGTGGCACCGACCTCCACCCACACCTTCATCCAATCATCCAGCCAACCATCCATCCCTCTATCCATCCTTCCAGCCAACCTTCCACGTATCCATCTGCCCAACCATCCCTCTATCCAATCTTCCATCTCTCCACTCATCCCTTCATCCAACCATCTGTTCAAACCATCCCTCCATCCAACCACCCAACCCTCCATCCATCCAATCATCCTTCCACTCATCTATCCAACAATCCCTCCATCCAACCATCTGTTCAAACCATCCCTCTATCCAACCATCCGTCCCTCCATCCAACTATCCATCTATCCAGCCATCCATCCAACCCTCCATCCATCCGACCCTCCATCCATCCAACCCTCCATCCATCCAAACCCCCCATCCATCCAACTCTCCATCCATCCAACCCTCCATCCATCCAACCCTCCACCCATCCGACCCTCCATCCATCCAACCCTCCAGCCATCCAAACCCCCATCCATCCAACCCTCCACCCATCCAAACCCCCTTCCATCCAAACCTCCACCCATCCAACCCTCCACCCGTCCAACCCTCCATCCATCCAACCCTCCAACCATCCAACCCCCCATCCATCCAACTCTCCAGCCATCCAACCCTCCATCCACCCAACCATCACTCCACCCCTCCCCATCCAAACCCCCATCCATCCAACTCTCCATCCATCCAACCCTCCATCCACCCAACCATCACTCCAACCCTCCATTCACCCAACCTTCCATCCATCCAACCCTCCATCCATCCAACCCTCCATCCACCCAACCCTCCATCTACCCAACCATCCTTCCAACCCTCCATCCCTTGCTCCATGCCCTTGCCCATCATTGCCCCCATCTCCCCCATCCCTCCTGCCCCACCTGCTCTCCACCTCCTCGATGGTGTCGGGCAGCGACATGTTGAGGGTCTCGGGGAGGAAGCTGGCGGCCACGGCCGAGGCCACGGGGGCGGCCCCGTAGACCACGGGCGGCAGGAACGGGTAATACTCATCCATCATCTTCACGAGCGGCGCCACGATGCCGCCCACCCGCGCCATGGTGCTGCCGAAGCCCAGGCCCGTCTGCCTGCCGGCGCGGAGGGACGGTGACACGGGGCCACCGCGGTGCTCGGGGACCGGGAATCTGCCCCACGGGACCTACCTGATGGGAGTCGGGTAGAGCTCGGTGGTGAAGAGGAAGACGCAGTTGAAGGAGGCGGAGAGGCAGCCCTTGCCGATGACGGCCAGCGCCGTCCGCACGGTCTGGAGCTCTGGGGGGACACGAGGAGGGACGAGGAGAGGGGACATGGTCGGTTGGATAGAGGGACAAGTGGAGGGAGGGATGGGTGGAGGGATGGAGAGGTGGAGGGATGGATGGTTCAATAGGTTGGATGATGGAGGGATGGAGGGAAGGATGGAGGGAAGGATGGAGGGAAGGATGGAGGGAAGGATGGAGGGAAGGATGGAGGGAAGGATGGAGGGAAGGATGGAGGGAAGGATGGAGGGAAGGATGGAGGGAAGGATGGAGGGAAGGATGGAGGGAAGGATGGAGGGAAGGATGGAGGGAGGGAGGGAGGGATGGATGGATGGATGGACGGATGGATGGATGGTTGAATAGGATGGACGGATGATGGATGGATGGTTGGATGGATAGAGGGATGGATGAATGGATGGATGGTTAGATGAATGGATGGATGAATGATTGGATGGATGGAGGGATGAGTGGTCGGAATCACGGCTGGACGGAAAAGCAGATGGATAGATGGGTGGCATTCACCCTGCTACGTCTCCCACCCCGTCCTCCCGTCCCCCTCTCACCTGTGGAGACAAAGATGTTGGTGATGATGACGCACCCCGCACAGACCAGGGACACGACGAGCGTCACCCGCCGGCCGATGTAGCTCAGCGAGATGGTCACCAGCGCCTTGGCCGGGAAGTCAACAGCACCGAAAATCACCTGGATGAGGTAAATGCTGACACCGAAGTTCTGCAGGTCCATGGCCAGGCCATAGTAGGAGAAGCTGATGGAGAACCTGCTGGGAAAAGAGAGGGGATGGAGGTGGGAAACCTCTTGCCCGGGGTGGGTGACACTGTGGGGTGGCCTCTCGTGAGGACCCTGGAGGAGATGCAGGATGCGGCTGCTGGGTTGTAGATAGGTGGATTCTCTTATGGTCTGTCTGTCCTTCCAGCCCTCCCTCCATCCCACCATCCATCCATCCCTACTTCCCTGCATCCATCCATCCCACCATCCATCCACCCATCCACCATCCATCCATCCACCCATCCATCTCACCATCCATCCATTCATCTATCCATCCACCCATCCACCATCCATCCATCCCACCATCCATCCATCTACCCATCCATCCGTTCATCCATCCACCCATCCATTCATCCATCCACACCCATCCATCCCACCATCCATCCATCCATCCACCCATCCACCATCCATCCATCCATCTCTCTATCCATCCACCCATCCAACTATCCCTCCATCCATCCATCCCACCATCCCTCCATTAACCCCCATCTTCTCTGTCCCAGTCCCCCCTCTTCTGCCTCCCTCCCGTCCCCACCACGCGATGGAGAGGCAGAGGAAGATGCGCCGGATGGCCGGGGTCCGGACCAGGTCGGAGACGCTGTAGGACGCCTTCATGGTGGCCAACTCCTTGTGCATGTTGGCCTTGAGGACCTGTGGGCAGACACAGGGCTCAGTGGGGACAGAACTGTCCCAGCATGGGGAGCACCCCGGCCCGATCCCGTCCTACCTCCGCCGTGATCTTCTCCCCTTCTTCCTCCTTCCCGTTGATCCTGGCCACCCGCCGAAGGACCTTCACGGCCTGCTCGGCCCTCCCTGACAGCACCAGCCACCGTGCGGACTCGGCCAACCACCTGGCGAGGGGGCAAGCTGAGGTCCCCATGTCCCCAAGGAGAGGGGACACCTCAAGGGACCGGGACGACCCTACCAGGAGTAGAGGAGGAAGAAGAAGAAGGGCGCCGAGACGGAGAGCTGGAGCCAGCGCCAGTGCGGGACGGCGTAGGCCACGCCGGCCAGCAGGATCTGGCCCAGCGTGTAGGTGAAGCCGGTCATGGCCACGGTGATGGCCCGGTAGGCCGTGGGGATCCACTCGACCACTGCGGGAGGGCCACAGCGCCGCCCGTCACGCGGGTCCCTCCTCCGGGACTGCGTGGGGCCACCGCGAATTGTCCCCATTCATAGCCATGGCATGGTCCCCATCCTTGGCCGCTGGGATGGCCCCATTGAAGGCTACCAGGATGTCCCCGTCCATGACCATCTGGATGTCCCCATCCACGGCCACTGGGATGTCCCCATCCATGACCATCAGGTTCTCCCCATCCATGCCCATTGGGATGTCCCCATCCACAGCCACTGTGATGTCCCCATCCATGGCCGTTGGGTTCCCCATCCAAAACCATTGGGATGTCCCCATCCATGACCATCAATTTCTCCCCATCCATGGCCACTGGGATGTCCCCATCCATGATCATTCAGATGTCCCCATCCATGACCATTGGGATGTCCCCATCCATGAACATCGGGATGTCCCCACCCACAGCCACAGGGAAGTCCCCATCCATGGCCATTGGCTTCCCCATCCATGACCATTGGGATGTCCCCATCCATGGCCGTTGGGCTGTACCCATCCATTATCATTGGAATGGCCCCATCTATGACCATCAGGTTCTCCCAATCCATGACCACTGGGATGTCCCCATCCATGACCATTAGGTTCTCCCCATCCATGGCCATTGGGATGTCCCCATTCATGGCCACTGGGATGTCCCCATCCATGGCCATTGGGTTGTCCCCATCCACTGTCCCATGGCCACCACCACGTTCCCCTCCATGGCCACCAACCTGCCCCTACCCACGTCCCCTCCACCCACCACCAAGCTCCAAGTCCCCTCGGCCATGGAGGTTGTCCCCACGCAAGACCACCGAGCTGTCTCCCATGGGCCACCCCGCCCCGTGTCCCCGGTGTCCCCGGGTGGCCTCACCGAGGCAGGCGACGCTGAGGCCGAAGCCGGATAGGGCCATCCCGGTGGCAAAGCGGAGGACACAGTAGGTCGCGTAGTTGGGGGAGAAGGCCGTGCAGGTGCCCGTCACCCCCAGCAGAAGGTAGGACCACATCAGCATGGCCTTGCGCCCGAACCTGCAACGGGGACACGTGGGGATGCTGGGAAGTCATTGGAGGCCACGGGGAGGCCCTGGAAGCTGTTGGGAGGCATTGGGAGCCACTGGGAGGCCATTGGAGGCCCCTGGGAGGTGGTGGGAGATGTTGGGAGGCTCCTGGGAGCCACTGGGAGCCCCGGGGACCTGCTGGGAGCCCCTTGCAGGTCCCTGGGAGATGGTGGGAGCTACTGGAAGCCCTTGGGAGGCACTAGGAGACCTTGGAGACAAGTAGGAGGCTTTGGAGGGCACTGGAAGCTCCTGGAGGCCCCTGGGAGGTGGTGGGAGATGTTGGGAGCCCCTGGGAAGCCCTGGGAGGCCCTGGGAGCCCCTGGAGGCCCCTGGGAACAACTGGGAGCTCCTGGGAGGCCCTGGGAGGCCCTGGGAGATGGTGGGAGCTACTGGAAGCCCTTGGGAGGCCCTAGGAGCCCTTGGAGACAAGTAGGAGGCACTGGAGGCCACTGGGAGCCCCTGGAGGCCACTGGGAGGTGGTGGGAGCTCCTGGGAGCCCCTGGGAGATGGTGGGAGTTACTGGGAGCCCTTGGGAGGCACTAGGAGCCCTTGGAGACAAGTAGGAGGCATTGGAGGCCACTGGGAGCCCCTGAAGGCCCCTGGGAGGTGGTGGGACCTCCTGGGAGCCCCTGGGAGATGGTGGGAGTTACTGGGAGCCCTTGGGAGGCACTAGGAGCCCTTGGAGACAAGTAGGAGGCACTGGAGGCCACTGGGAGCCCCTGGAGGCCACTGGGAGGTGGTGGGAGACCCTGGGAGCTACAGGGATCCCCTGGAGGCCACGGGAGGCCCCGGCCTCCGCGTGCAGCGAGGCCCGTCCGGCCCTACCTGTCGGAGAGGCCGCCCAGGAGCAGGGCGCCCACCAGGACCCCGGCCATGTAGATGGACTGGGCCAGCTGCCGCAGGCGCCGCGCGCCGCAGACCAGGTCCCACTGCGGGACAGGAGGCTCCAGCGGCGCCGCCCACGTCCCCATTCCCCCTCCTCCAGCCTCCATCTCCAGCCTCCTCCATCTCCACCCTCCTCCTCCTCCTCCATCCTCTCCCATTCACCTCCTCCATCTCCAGCCTCCATCTCCATCTCCATCCTGTCCCACCCACCTCGCCATCTCCATCCTCCACCTCCATCTCCATCCTCTCCCATCCACCTCCTCCATCTCCATCCTCCACCTCCATCCTCCTCCATCATCTCCATCTCCATCCCCCTCCCCGTCCACCGCTTCCATCTCCATCCCTATCCCTCCATCCCCATCCATCTCTGTCCCTCCATCTTCATCCCTCCATTCCCATCTCCGTCCCCATCCCTGTCTCTCCCTCCCGTCCCCATCTCCACCTTCCTCCCCATCCCCAGCTCCATCCATCTCCATCTCTATTCCTCCATCCATCTCTGTCTCTCCGTCCCCATCTCCATCCCCATCTCCATCCCTGTCCTGTCTCATCCCCATGTGGCACCTCAGTGACAATGGCGGCCACATAGACGCTGCGGTCGTAGTTGCTGTCCCCGTCCCTCCCCATCCCATCCCATCCTTGTCCCCATCCCTGTCCCCATCCCCATCCCTGTCCCCATCCCTGTCCCGTCCTGTCCCTGTGTGGCACCTCGGTGACAATGATGGCCACGTAGATGCTACAGTCGTAGTCCTCGTCCCTGTCCCCATCCCCATCTCTGTCCTCGCTTCTGTCCCCATCCCCATCCCATCCCCGTCCCCATCCTGTCCCTATCCTTGTCCCTGTCCCTGTCCCATCCCTGTCCCCATCCCCATCCCGTCCCTGTCCCTGTGTCCCCATTTTGTCCCCATCCCGTGTCCGTCCCTGTCCCCATCCTTGTCCCTGTCCCCATCTCCAACCCCATCCCTGTCCCTGCTCCCATCCTGTCCCCATCCCCGTGTCCCCATCCCCGTGTCCCTGTCCCCATCCTGTCCCTGTGTCCCCATCCCTGTGTCCCTGTCCTCGTCCCCATCCTCATCCCTGTGTCCCCATCCCTGTCCCTGTGTCCCCATCCCGTCCTTGTCCCTGTCCTGTCGCCATGCCCATCCCAATCCCTGTCCTGTCCCCATCCCTGTCCCCATCCCCTCCTTGTCCCTGTCTGTCCCTGTCCCCATCCCCATCTCAATCTCCAATCCCATCCCTGTCCCCATCCCCATCCCTGTGTCCCCGTCCCCATCCCCGTGGCCCCATCCCGTCCCCGCCGCCCCATCCCGGA